CTTAATTCTATAATTTCAATTAATAAAGTTTCTACTTTGGCATTATAAAAAAAAAAAAAAAAAAAAAAAAAAAAAAAAAATTAGATTGTAACTGATTGTTCAAATGTAATGAAAAAGTATCGTAGAATTATATCAAAAAGGTAAATTTAAATTATTTAATTTTAAAATTAATATTATATAATTTTTTAATTTAAATTTTTTTTTAATAGGATATATTTAGATTACTGGTCTCAAATGTATATACACTTAATAAATTTTATATGCAAAAGAATTCTTTCACATCCTACTGCTAGAGAAATTATAACAAAAAATAATAAATTAATATCTTTTTTAAAAGATCACATATTTGGTCTAAACATTTAAAAATTGGTATTAATAACAAGTAAATATTAAGTATGAATTAGCAATATAGTTTAGTATTCACTGATATTCTGCATATAATAATATAAAATCAATATTTCTTTATAAATTCAGATTTTATTAACTTCTTAATCATAATGATGCTATACAACTAAAGATTGAATTAGATCATGAAATAATTCAAATTATTGAGAATAGAAATTATTAGAAAAATAATGAAATTATAATGAAAATATTAAAACTAGTTAATAATACTATAAAAAATTTAGAATTTGCAAATATAATATTAGCAGATGCATATTTATCTTTAATTTATTTAGGAAAAAATTTAATTTCCTTATTTAATAATATTGATAATTATAATAATCTTAAGCTTTATATGTGCTAAGTTTATAATAACCAAATTATAGAACTTGATCTAAATCTTTATACACTGGTATTATTTTGTTATTCTAAAACTTGAAAACTTGCAATTTTAAAAAAATATTATAGAATATACAAAATACTGCAATTAAACTAGTAAAAAATTAGAATTAGAATAAATAATCAGTATTAGATATTAAAAATAGATTAGCTAATTATTTAAATTTTATTGAAGACTTTAGTTTAGATAAAGAAATTTTAATAGATAATCTACATATATATTGAAAACATATTTTAAGTCCAAAATATGCTACTCTTGTTATATTTGTTAAGTGTATTTTTGCTCTTGTTCCTCATACTGCAGAAACTAAAAGATGTTTTTCAACTATTAGATATCATAATACAAAATACTGGAATAATATAAAAACTAGTATATTAAAAGTTATAGGTCAAGTTAAAACTTGATTAAAACAAAATAAAAATAGTGAAATTAAAGTAAAAAATTCAAAACAAGATAATAAAATAAATATTAAAGATTTAAAATTAGAAGAAAATTTTGATATTAATAATTAGAATAATAATATTAATGATTCTTTAAATTCTATAGAATTAAAATATGAATTAGAAAATTTTTTGAAGAAGAACAAAATGAACTTGAAGTATTTACAAATTTGGTACCAAAGTTTGTAATTGAGCAATTAGTTGATATTGATGATCCTATTTTAAAATAATCAAACTATACAAAATAATTTTATAGATGAAAGTTTTGCTATTAATAAAGAAAATAATAGTAGTAACTGAGACATAAATATAATTATAGATGATTATTAATATAACAAAAATTTATTACTTTGTATTTATATATTCTTTTTTTTTTTTTTTTTTTTAACTTAGGCGATCTTGCCTGTCATTTTATTAAAGAAAAACTTATAAAAGCTATAAAGTAAATTACTATATAAACTATATTAAAATACCCTTCTTTAATTAATCTGAACTTACTCAGCTACCTTTTAGTACTCAGGTGTAATCTGCTACAGCAACATTTTTTCTCATAGAAATGTTAAGCTGTTTTCATCTTACTAATTACTAATCACTGAGAGGCTGCTAACAGCCTATATAAAGATCTCCTATTTTGTTTTGAATTTTAACCACTCTTCTTTCATACTAAAAAAAAACTTATTGATCAATTTTTTTACTCGATTCTTCCTAGATGCTTGTTTTTTTTCTTTCTAAGTTTCTTTAAGTATATCCATAGGTATAATATTTTTTTTATTTGACTTCAGGTACTTCTTTTTTCATTTTTTCATTTTTGCTTTTCCTGAGATGTTATTTTCCTTTTTCCAATCATCCATTATCTCATAGCAGAACTTCCATAATCATTCATAAAAGCAATTTCAAAACTATTCAATAAACTCTACTAAGATTAAACTTGCTTTTCTTTTTGAGCTAGTTAGTTTCATAACTTCTCTTTGTTGCTTAGTATTCATAAAATTTCTTAGTAGTAGTTTTCTATTCTTGAGGTTAGTATTCTGTTGATTTCTAAAGATTGCTTCTTTAAGTGAATTGGAGTTTATGAAGATATCATGCTGTGATAAGACTTCAAGTCCAGACAGTTAAATCGCTTCCTCTTCTAGGTTTCTCCATATTCTTTGATATAGTTTGCATTCTGCGATGTGGTATAAATTTTCATCCTTTCGGAGGTACACAATGCATCTTTGGTTTTTGTATAGTTTTAGATTTTTTTGAAAACATATGTCTTTTATTAGCAGTAGATAGTTTATGCACTTTATTCGGAATATTAGTACTTTGCTCTTTTTTAAACTTATACACTTTTTGCCTTGTAGCTTCTTTAGGATCTGCTATATATTGTTTCAAATTAATTTTTCATTTCTAGGGTTCTCGTAATTTTGCTCTAGGATATCTGCTATTTTGCTTAGTCTTGACTATTCTGTTTTGTAGTATGCTATAAAGATAATATTTACGAAAGATCTTAATAAGCTATCTATGCTTTGGCCTTTCTATTCAGTAGTGTAATTGATGTTTGCTAACTCAGCCTTTGGTATACTTAGAGTATTCCTTGAACTCAGGTTCTTTTTTGCAAGTCTGTCAGCTAAGTCATTGCCTGTATTGCTGCTGTGACCTTTAACCTTGTGGAGTCTTAGATTTAGACCTTTGGCTTTGCAACAACTTTTTATTTAGCTTAACAGGCTTCTGTTTTTGATCTTGAAATAGTCTCTTAGTTTGTTGATATTATTGTATTTTTTGATAGCTTCTATTGCGACTTTGCTATCTGTAAATATATGAACTTGGGTTTCAAAAGGTATTGTTAGTAGAGTGGTCCAAATTGCACCTAATTCAGCATATATTGAGGAGGGCTAATTTTCTATGTTACAATTAAAACTAATACTATTATCTAATCTATTCTCAGTTTTTGCTATCCATCCAATCCCTATTTTGTTTTTTCACTCCTCCTTCCTAATCATTGCTCTGTCTGTAAAAAACTCTACTGTTTCTCTTCCTTTTAATCTACTACTTAAGTTTGTTAAGTTTTTTTTAATCTCAGGATCTCTTATACTTTCTTCTATAATTGCATTTTCGAGAGTTGCTGCTATGATTTCTACTCTGACTTCTTGTTCCTGTTTAGATATATCTACTATATCCTTTTCTTCTATATATACTGAGATAGGTACCTTTAGTATGATACTTTCCTCTTCTTTCATTATATCTGCTATTTGATACCATTTATTGAGTTTTATACTAATTTTACAGATATTGTTATTAGAGTTCCTACATTTTTTGCATCTAATAAAGAATTTACGCTTAGATTCCTGTTCTAGATTCTGTTGCCAATATTCAGCTACTACAACTTTCTTAGATTTTCTTATGACTTTGCCTAGTTGTATTTCGTTATTCTTTGTAAAGAGGAACCATTCTTTTTTCCTTCTATCCTGAGATATTCTTGCTAGTCTAATTTTTATTGCTTTTTTGTTTGTACTCTCAATTTTGAATGTATCTTTTACTTCTCTGCTTTTGCCTATTTTAAGTATTTTTTGTTCAAGGTTCAGATACCAACTTGGTGTACATCCTTTCTTTTGTAATGATCTTATATGTTTAATTTGTTGCTAAGTTAGCATATACTTTCCTGAACTATTGATTAATTGCTCTATATTGAAAAGATTCAGTCTATCTGTAGTAGCAAAGGACTGTGTATCCTTCTTGTCTAGTAAGCTATAAATTTCTATTCCTCTTTCATCTAAATTATCTGCATCTTCTGTGAGTTTATTGATTCGAAGATCTAATTTAGCAGACTCATGCAGTACTTTGAGTGTTAGATTATATTTAGGTATGTTTCTATTAAATTTGTATTCTCTGTTCGTTAGGCACTTTAAACTTTTGCTTTGTAACTGCTCTTCTTTTAATCTTAATCTTGTAACTATACCTAGTAAGTCTTTATTGTTTAGATGTATTGATAGTTCAGTGAATTGGTGTGCTAACTAATTTTGCTAGATAAATCTGAGTTCGAGGAAACCAATATGGCTACAAATAGCATTTGCTATAGTGCTAGCCAATTTTAACTTGTTTTTGATCAAAATCTATATTAGTCTCTGGATTTTGTCACAAATAGCTTTTGTTAGAAAAGTTGTTTGAAGTCTATATTCTATACTTGGCAATAATACGCTATTGTTTAGGTATATTAATTGACTAGCAGATACTTTTTTCCATTTTATAGCTCTGCATATTCTACTAACTTTGTTTTGTATAATATTATAGCTACATTTTGATTATCTTTGCTTGTAATCCAAACCCCTAGATGTCTATATGTACTAGAATCTTTTTTTGCAAATACTTTGTCTCCTTTTTTATCTAGTTTAATTGAGTATAAATTTTGATTTGATTTCTCTTTTTAGTTAGCATTGAGAACTACTAGCTCTTATTTCTTGCTATTGATTTCAATATCATTTAAAGTATAAAATTTATTAGCAATATTTACTATTTTCTGTAGCTCTCTCTTAGATCTTGCTATCCATGTCATATCATTTACATATACGAGGACAGCTTGCTGATGTGATATTTCCTTATAGCTATTATAAATCAAATCTGTAGACTATTCCATTGTCATCTTGTACCCTAAATCTTTTGTTTTTTGAACTGCATAGAGTAAAGGGTCATAAAAGATGCGCCAAACTAGTGGAGAGATTACTTCTCTTTGATCTATACTATCTTCTGCTTCAAATTTATTTGTAAGACCATAACTAGTGACTACTTTAATCTTTTGTTTTTTGAATAAGTTTAGAATAAAATTTATTACTACTTCTGGTAATTTTATTCTTTTGAGAGCTTTTTTTAGCATTTCTAGACTAACAGAGTCGAAAGCTTTATGCATATCTTGGAAGAGAATCTAGAGCTCATTATTTTTTTGTCTTGCATCCTCAATTATACTGTTTAAGATATGTATAGAACTTGCAGTGCTGTCTCTTGGGAGACCAGCGTAGTTAGATCCTTATAAGATATTATGCTTTACTAAGGTTTTATTTAGCCTATATGTCAGAATTCTAACTACTATTTTGCGAAAAGTTTTTAATAATATAATTGGTCATTCGTTTGACAAATTATAGTTCCAATTCTCACCTTTGGGAATTAGATATAGTTTGCTAAGCTTCTATTTGTATGGGATTTCTCCTTTTTTAATACATAAACTTGTGAGATGTTAAAAGACTTTTTGTGCTATAGGTTCTACTTTTTAAATCAGGGAGTAGCTTATTCTTGATATACCTAATACTGATTTGAGTTTGGTCTTTTTTAATACTTTAGCCCATTCTTCTGTAGAGACTTCTTCATTTAAACCTACATATATATCCTCATTTATGCTGTCAGATAGTCTACAAATTTCTTTTTATTTCTTAGACATCTCATTATGTAGGGTATTTCTCTTCTGAAATTGCTTGCTAAAGTAACTTTGTACTTCTTCTAGAACTTCTTTCTCTTGATTTATTAATATTATGTCTGAGTTGTTCTCTTTTACTATTCTGTTTAAAATTATTCGTTTGGAGGACCTTTCCAAAAGACTATCTAGCATATGTTTAAGCTCTCCTTGAATTGCTTCACATTGTTAGTTTACTGCGATGTTTACTTTCTCAAGGTCTTCTTTTCTTCTTTCTTGTTGCAGTTTGATATTTAGGATTCTCCACTAGCTCTTAAACATTTTTAGCATTTCTTTCATCTAGTTTTCGTCTGTGATTACTTCAATTTTTGTTCCGTATCTGTTATTTATTTTTAGTATTGAGTAATTTACTAAAAACTTGTTAGTAGAACTTATTAGTTAGCCTAGTTTTTTTGTGCAAGATTAACAGAACATTCCAATTTTCTTTACGTCTTTTTTTATTTTATCACTTTCTTTAGTTTTGGTAGCTTTTAAGTTTCTTTCTACTATTTTTTTGTTTGGAGGTGATGATTTTGCATATTTGGTAATATACGATACTATTATATCCTATAGCTCATCTATGTCTTGTAATGCTATCTTTTACATATTATTTCTTGTATCTGTGATTTTTGTTTTCTTTTTGAGTATGTTATCTAGCTTAGTTCTATACTCTTTCCAATTTTCTTCTTTTGTCTTTTTAAGTTGATATATTCATTGTTTACCTTTGAGCCTTTTGCTATATACTAGAGATTTGAACTTGTTTGTAATACCTGTAGATAGAGTTGTGACTACTATAGAATAATCACTGCC